GTTGCGAATATCATTGATGCTGCGCAGTGTCGTCAGATCCTCTTCGGTTGGCCGGTTCTCGATGATGAGTTGTATCCACTGTAGGAAAAACCAAACTAAGTGACATGGAAGGGAACAATGCGTGGACATGCCTCGTCGCCTCGTGCATAAGGAATAATATGCATCCCAACCCCTTCATCGATGCCGGTCCACACACATCGACCATCGCGTTTTAATACCTTCTCACGAAAGTTTTCGCGGGTAGCCGTAGTTGCAGAGTGCGTATGGGTTCGCTGTTTGATGACCTCGGGGTCAACGGCGTAAGAGAGGATGTTTCCACCAGGCACATCGTATCGGTAGACTCCCCGATCCACCAGCTCGCCGTCCAATTCTACCGCATCCCCAGTCTCACCAACCAGGGTCCCAATAACGCCTAGGACACACCAGCCAATATACCGAAGATATTTTAACGGGTATAGACAGACCGTCGTCGCGATTTGCATAGGAACTTCCAAGTAAAACGAATCTTGAGGTAATAAAAGGAGCTGAACAAAGCCTGGCGGCGGTGGCGGGCGAGGCATGTGGACGATGGTGGTGGTCGGAACCAAGTCCCACCACGGATCACGATTCACTAAGAGCTATTAATACTTTCTCACGCACCCTGTCGGAAATGTACAAAAAGGGTTATAATGACGTATAAGGTAATATTCGGCTGTAAGTGGACTGGGATGATTATAAGATTCCATAAGTAACAAGTGTTGACTGATAAGAAGCCAAATAAGAAAGAGATTTTTCCTTATTTGATGGATATAAGATGCCAACTCACTGCCCCATTGGCAAGATTATAAGGAATTTGATTTCTGGTAAGGTTCAAATAAGGTCACTGATAAGGTGTCAAATTTGCCTGGAGAAAATAAAATAAATATAAATCACATGAATTACACAATCTAATTTATTGGCTAATTTCTTCTGTGGCTAGTAGGTCACCCACAGATCTAGACTGTATTACATAAGCAAGAACACAATTAGATAGCAAGTTTACAATATCAAGGGTCAAACCAGCAACAAGAACAATATAATATTACATAAGAATTATACAGAGCATTATTACAGTTCAGCCATATAGCTATCATATATACAGATAATCCACTTAATATACAGTTGACTATCTCACAATGCATATAGTCAGAAGACACCAAAACTGTATGCATTTATAGATTTATGCAGAACTAAAATAGCATATGATGTGATATGTGACTTTATGTGACAATATCATCATTATCCCAAAATGCTGTCAGTGGCTTTTGGGTCAGCTTTCCATGCATCTCCTTGAATAATGCCTCTTTCAACTTTCTCAGCTATGGTACTAATCCACTCTGGTCATCTTGTGAAATATAAAATGCCTCCAGCTTTTGAATAAGCTCAAATCCTTCCCTTGTAGTTATCAAGGTTTGTTCTTTCTCACTCTTTTCTTTCTCCTTTTTCTTCTCATCATTGTCAATGACAGTTATTTTCCCATTTTCTACTGCAATATTATGCTTGACAGCAGCAACAATCTCTTCATCTGTTGGCATCACCTCAAGATCTTCAGTATACTCTTCTGCAATAGAGTTAACCATCTCTTCAATAGTTGGAATGAGACTAAACATGTGATTTTATTATTTCAATTTGACAAGATGATCCTTCAACATTATCTCTGCTGTCTGGAGCTGTTGAATGGAGGCAATTTGGGTGGAAGATGTGTTTATTTTTGACTGTGATGAAGAAGCCAACTGATTGACTGCCTTTAGTGCTTTATCAACATTGTTCTCTGCATTCATAACAGCCATAAGAGCATGACACCAGTCAGCATCAGCATATTGGTTTCTAAGCAGATCCTGCAATGCTTGTTTGATCCCTGGAAGCATGTATTTGTCTGTTGAGGCAAAGTCATGAACAAGGTTCCATGCAGACTTGAGAAGTAAGGCATCTTGGAAATCATTGGATAGTGTGGTAGACTGTGACTCAGGTGCATTGTCAGGCATTATACCAGTGTGTTTCCAGCAGTTTGCTATTGTTTCACTGCTGACATTTGCCCAAGCATCATGAGTGATAGTCATAGCTTCAAGGAGATCAAGCTTAAAGATCTCAGACTCTCTAAGATCATCAAGATCAAGTGCACAGATACACATGGCATTCCAATAAGTAATGGAATGCCCTCAAAAGTTGTCTAAGGTCAGCAGAACCTGCTGCATCTTTCTCTTTATCTTTAAATCAAACATTTTCACCCACTTTGTAAATATTTCACTTGTCATCCAGGCCTTCTTGTTATTCTGATAATAGAATCCCATTGCTGTTGGACTCTTTTTCTTGAAACACCATGGTTGCTTTGACTTGCCAATGAAAACAACTGGCATCCACTCACTCCCATCTGCATTCACAGCAAAACACATGGTGATGCAGAACTTATCCTGTTTTCATCCACTCATAGGACCAGATGCCAAGGTATGATCTGAGATGACAAAGATGATAAGACTGGATTCATCAATATTCCATCTGTCTCACATTGCATATTTCATTATAATGCTGTAAAAATGCACACATTCTTTCTCCACTGCCATCATATCCACTGAGCCTGCTTCTTTATGCTGCCAAACCTCCTGAATCTTCCATGCCTTATAGAATGACCTCAACCATCTCTCTTCTTTCAAACACTGATCCTCTGGAATATTCATCAGATTTTCAATCTGATTTTACTTCTCTATCAGCATTGCACCAGTCACAGTCTCATCTTGAAGCTGCATGTTCTGATACCAGGATGCAACAGCATGCTCCACATCAGATCAGGTGACAATACAAGACTTTTTGGATAATAGTGCATTAGAGTTCTCATTTGCATGCTGTTTGATTTTTGTATGAGATGCCAGTTTTTGTGAAAGAGTTGATTGGATAAAGAGCAGTGCACCTTTCTTTTGGTTTGTGAAATGTGCCACAATGTCAGCATGTCAATAGGAAGGATGATTATCAACATGTTTGAATACTACAAGCCAGTCTCCTGTTGTGAGGTGTGGGTGAGAGATCTGCTTTGGAGACTGAGCTGATGATGTGTATATTAGGACTTTCTCCTTCTGTTTTGTACACTCATATGGATTTTCAGATTTAGCACATGGTTTTCATGTTGGTTCAGGAGGCATGTTTATAGAGATATAGACTGTGTCACTTTACAATAATTTTTTTTGTGTTTGTTATAGTCTATACAAACAAATTATGTTCTTTATTGTTCTAATATATGCATAATGTCATATCAGCTTACTATAATTTTTGATCTGACAATGCATATTCCTAACTAGAACCATATGCATTATGCAATATGCATTTCTAGCCTATTTCCCTGCTCCTCAACTGCATTCCAGCTCAATCCATATGCAAAGTCAGAATTATGCATTTTGATATCATGCATTGTGAGATAGTCAACTATATTATGATAATTGATCATAAGACCTTTTTTTCATCTCAACTAATATTATCACTCTGCTTAAATCATAGCTTGTTTCTGGTGCAGAAATCCCATGTTATATAGAATAGCTAAGTATAATATATACTAATCATTATTACTTATATATATTATTCTTCTCAAGACTATTATCTAAACTTTTATTAACAGTTCAGTAGATTGTATAGTTGCTTCAATGAGTCTGTACAGCTGGTGCTTGAGGCTGAGAGATGACTGCTATACCCTGAGATCCACTTCAGTCCCACCATTTGTTACTATGATCACAATCTATCTGATCTGTTGCTTGAAGCTGTCCATCAACTTTAGAGCAAATACTGTCTGCAGGCAGCAAAGCAGTATTAACAGAGTGTTCATTTCTATACATGACATTAAATCCAGCTAAAAAATAAAATTGAGATTAAAGCCACTACAGTATGATGCTTCTTACTTAGAGTGACTACTTGAACACTATCAACAAGGTCTTCAACAGCAATATTTGAAGTGCTGGAGATAGATGTAAGACTTGAATTAGAATAAATTTTGACAGCCTGTGGTCTGAAGAGCTTTTCATTAGATTCAAAGGAATCGGTGAAGTTATTGCCTATCTCAATGGTCTTGTATTCCTTGACTTATCTGAATCATCAATTATAGTCTAAGCTTCAATCTTGAAAGACAAATTGATTGAATGTAATAAAGATGTCTTTTATATGCTGCTTGTCAAAATTCTTGATGACAATTAACTTATATAGCTTAAAGTCAGATGCATATTAAATGTGAGAGCATGCTCTATGTTTATTGAAATGTTTATCACCAGAAAGAATATAGCAGGCCTAACAAATGAGATGTGAGTGATAGCACAAGCTAGAATGAGTAGTATACTGGCAATAATAGCTGCAAATGCAATAACATTTGATGAGACTTCAGTTAGATCTAAAAGGATTATATTGATTAGTTTTTTCTTGATGATTTTCTTTTTCTTGAGAGTCATTGAACTAAAAAAAAGACAGCAAGTATCTGAAATTATGATACTCTTTAGGCTGGACATGCACACAATGTAAATCTTATTTTTATCAAGATCTCACTTCTAAACATATAGTGATTATCAGTCTTCTCTGTGTCTGGCTAAAGAATAGGCAGTAGAGATGTGTATGATTTCTTCTTGGCATTGTAGCCTGAAAGTCTCTGACAGGTGGAATCTGTATAAGCATTGAATCTATGTTCTAAGGCTGATAAGATTAGAGACCCAAAGACAGTGTGCAAAGCTTTATTTTTGATGCAGTTAATGAATGTGGATTGACCATCAGAGGTATATTTGTTAAACTGAGAAAAAATCATCATCACATAAAGTGTTAGAAGACAACATAGATACCATACTCATTTTCTTGCTGGACCATAGTTTCTTCTGAATAAGACTTCATGCTCTGGCTTTATGATAGCATACACCTTGGCATAAAATGCTTCCTCCTCCAACTCTGGAGAGGTGTATCATTCAGAGCTGAGTATCAGCCCATTATCTACAGACTTCCAGGCTTAGAAAAGTTTTTCTTCATCCATCTATAGATTAATTGTTAACACACAGTGTTTGATAAAGCATATGATATATATTTTCTGAACTGATGACAAAGAACCTTTCTTGCTGGATTCAGAAGGTACTGACAATAAAAGCAGTTAGTTCTTCTCAATAAGCTCATTGACTTGAAGCTGAGTCTGTTAAAGCATCTGCATAATCATAAGCATACTGAGAGATGAGTATAAAGACTTGTATCTTACTTTTTCTTATTCAAGGTAAGCTTTGAGCCAGTGTGGCAGATCAAAGAGGTTTTCAGTCATAAAATATTCCTGAACCTGCTTGATAATATTGAAGAAAAGTGCTTATAAAGGCATGCTTGTATCTGTCACAGTGGTGACTGAAGCTGATGACTGTTCTATTAAATTGAATATTGTAAGAAGTGAGAGGTGGGAGGTACTGCTTCTCCCATATTCTCTGTTCTTTTAAAGAACCAAGAGAAATTCTGAAATAACATAAAGTGATATTGAAGTGTGATACATATAAGACATGTTTTGAAAGACAGCATGAAGCTGAACAAGAAAATACTAATGTGAACCATAGAAAATAAGCCACACACATGAATAGTGT